GACGTTGCAGACGTCACTTAAATTTGTTTTGATCCTGACAGGTCGGGACTCGTCGTTTTTACTCCATCAGGGCTACTGACTCCTGAGATGTCTAATGCCTCTGTCGGGCTTGAGGCTCAGATCCACAAGCAACATTCGCTTGCATTGTTAGCTTAATCTGATTCTGATCTACATCACCAGGTTGAGGTGCGCTGAGCCAAAACACTAGCTCTGATTCATAGCGCACACGAACGGCTGGAACTGATAGTCGATGATGAGCTATACGAGTTTGCTGGTTTTGTCGCCGACCAGTCGGTCAGAGAGTGATTTGCATCAAAAGTAATGCGTGGTCAGACTCAACGCAGGTGGTCCAATAAGACCTGCAATTTTGAATTGGGTCACGCCAACGGTAGCTCACTGCTATGTGGTCGATTTGAGCTAGCGTACCAGTTGAACTGGAGCGCCACGTTGCCGTCCGTCGAGAGATGTGTCGAAAGTTGGTACTGTTTAGGGGCAGTTGACGGTCCGTGCAGAAATGAAGAAGTCGTTCGTCGTTATCTGCTCGTTGGCAGGGCAGGGCACAACTGCCGCCTAGGTAAGCTTCTGATGCGCCCAGTTTTCCAACCTGCGCGTTGAAATTGCAAGTACAACTATGTCGGAGCTTCGACTTAACTGAATGAGATCAATGAGTTAATCATAGAAAGCGTCCTTTTGGGCATCAGGACTGCAATAGGTCGATGCATATGCTGATACGATGAACAAAACTTTTCGGTGTTGCTTACCTTCCGGACGCTGATTGAACCCTGGGGACGCGCTGCACATAAATGACTGTTGACAGGGATCCAATCGATAAGAAAGGACTCAGCCCTGTTGCTGAGTACAATACCTACCCCGCACTGACCTACTGAGCGGGTTTCGTAGTCGCCAGATGTGCGAAGAATGTACCTCAAGGACAAATCTGGCTCGCTCAAGTGGCGTATAGTAGAAGTATCCTGGATTCGAGTCTCCGACACGCAGCAAGTATCGATCCCTGAGGATTCCATTGTTGACCTACCTGCTTCAGGGTTCTCACTTTGAAGGTCTCCAGATTCAGTGATTGACGAGGCTTTAGAAACTGCAATTCGTTTCGTGATACATTAATTACAGTGCTATTTGGCAACGACCTTCGGCTAGCGACATCCAAGTTGCTTGAGGAACTATTACAGGTCGGAAGGAGGAAAAATGGAGAAGGCCGGGTACCGAAGGCAAAGAATTAAGCAAAGGTTGGGATGTCTGAGCAGTAGCCCACTTTTCACTACCCACTCCGCTCCATGCAATGGGCAGCGTGGTCCTGATTATCCTGCGCGACGACCGATACAGTATGGGATTATCTATATTTTGTGTATGCATTGGGCTTTGATGAACAGGTCCTGCTAGGGTGTCCAGCCACTAAGCAGGAGAACGATTAGGGTCCTCGTCCAAAGCCTTTAGTTCTAAGCATAACCTAACCGCAAGGCAGCGGGTGAGGCGAAGTGGAGGCCCATTTACTTGAATCGATTTATCCTCCATCATTTTTTACCGACTGAATCACTAACTTCAGTCGAACCCCCAACCAGGAGACTGAACTTCTTCTGACCTCTACACATTGACCTTCCAGGCATGATAAGATCTCCTGGCTTGACAAAGCCATCCTGTGAATTTTATTGAGGAATCCACAACCAGAGCCTTCAGCCAGCCAAAGCGGGGCGGTGTGTGAAACCGCAATCCATTGGGAGCCGATGTCCAGTTCATCGGGCCATACGCCCTTTGGACGGGGTCAAATGTGCAAAGTGGGTTTATTATCTATCTGTTACGTTCGACGTTTATGAGAATATGAAAACCAACCATGAGTGATTTAACAAACCACATTTGGATATTTCCCTAGTCCTCTTGGAATATCGAAAATCGATCCATACAATCAAAAACTGTCTTTCAAAACAACTTCGGCTGAGCTGTTGGTCTATCGGGTAAATTGCGAGCGTCAGAATAAACTGCCAAATGTGCTCTCCTGCGCTCTCACAGTAACGTGAAGATACAATGTTTTACTCATCCATAAATGGTTCCGATATTCCCTACTTAATTAAATTCTCATCTTGGAAAACACAGCAGCGTATAGCTAGTTTAATCGCCGAACCGTGATAATTCTCACTTTCTATTTTGTCTCAGACTTGAAGGGCTCCAGTTTGTGGGAAGCAAGTTATGTTCTCCTGCCATTATGATGGCTGTGATTCAGATAGTGAAAGCGTGAGGTTCGTAAAGGATCGTTTTTTTCTATGATCATTTTTACTCAGTAGTGAGAGCGATGAGAATCCTATTGAGTGTGCCAAATCGAAAATCGAAGCAAGGAAATTCGAGGACCTAATGAATGCTGAGTTGGACGCAACGGCTGTTCATTTTTCTTTGCCTAAATCCAATAACAATATAAGCAAGCATGTTCGTTTCTCTCAAAAATCAGATGATGAAAAAGGTTGGTTCTATTATTCAAAGGTTGATTTCCTTCAGGCGAAGATGATCAGGATGATTTACTCTACGATGAAACAGAAGATGATTCAAACTCTAAGTGGATGATTGAAAATCTTCCCGGGGGGTTGGAAAAGAAGTCAGATGCTGTCCTCAATTGTCCATGTTGCATGACAGTGTTGGCGGTCAATTGTCACCGGTAAGTTGATGTTTAATTACTGTCCACTACTCTTCCTCTGATGATAGTAAAGACTTATTCTTACTTTGCGAAATGAGATCACAGAGTACTCGACTGAAAACATGCAGTAGAGAAGAAATGAATCTTTTTTATTACACTCTTGTGTGATAAATAGCAGACGGATGGACTCCATAGTCACAAAAGCATGCTGCCGCCGGATTTAGAG